TGCTATTGCAAGCTGTCTCTTCCCCTGAGGGTGGGACTGGGCCTCTTGTGGGAATGTTGCATGGTAGAGAAGATGCTTCTCTTACTTTCTTATTTACTTTCCAGAGGCTCTTCATTTTTTTCCTTTTGGTGTAAATGGTTTATCATTTTTAATACTATGTAACATCCAGAATGGTGATGAAGCCAAGCAACTTTACAAATTTGATAAATAGCATTTGATAAATGAAATCTGCCTTGCAACTTCTCAACAATTTTCTTCCCTTAGGAAAGATACTTCTGATTTTGTACCTTATTCTCAAGAGGCTTCTAGTTTTATTTTGACTTTGGTGCCTGGTTGGCTTGTGGAGGCAATGTAACAGGATCTCGACAATTTTTTTTTTCTTTTAGACAGTTTTCATCACTGGCTAGTATGGCATTAGCATACCTGGCAGCCCACACTTTCTCATAAAAAAAAAAAAAAGCCATAGAAAGGAAGTACCTCACAATATCTTTGGGGGGGGAAGGGGGGATTTACTTGTAACTAAATAAATGGAAGAACTGCGCACTTCTTTGAAAGCAAGTTATCTGTCATTAAATAAAATGAGGACTGCCTAAAAAGAGTGCAGAGAAAAGCAACATAGATGATCAGGGGACTGGAGGCTAAAACATATAAAGAATGGTTGCTGCAATTGGGTATGTCTAGTTTAATGAAGAGAAAGACAAGGGGGGACATGATAGCAGTGTTCCAATATCTCAGGGGCTGCCACAAAGAAGAGAGAGTCAAGCTATTCCCCAAAGCACCTGAAGGCAGGACAAGAAGCAACAGATGGAAATTAATGAAAGAGAGAAGCAATCTAGAACTAAGGTAAAATTTCCTGACAGTTAGAACAATTAATCAGTGGAACAACCTACCTCCAGAATGCCCTAACACTGAAAGTTTTTAAGAAGAGACTGGACAAGCATTTGTCTGAAATGGTATAGGGTTTCCTGCCTGACCAGGGGGTTAGACTAGAAGACCTCCAAAGTCCCTTCCAGCTCAGCTATTCTATTCTGTTCTGCTCTGCTCTGCTCTGCTCTGCTCTGCTCTGCTCTGCTCTGCTCTATTCTATTCTATCCTATCCTATCCTATTTCATTCTATTCTATTCTAAAATGCAGGAGGATTTTTCTGCAAAGCAATAGCACTTAGCAATACCATTTAGACTTATATACTGCTTCACAGTGCTTTACAGCCCTCTCTCAGCAGTTCTACAGAGTCAGCATATTGCCCCTAACAATCTGGGTCTTCATTTTATCTACCTCGGAAGAATGAAAGGCTGAGTCAACTTTGAGCCCCGTCAGAATCGAAGGAATTGAACTCTTGGCAATGTGAGTAGAGCTAGCCTGCAGTGCTGCAATCTAACCACTGCACCACCACGGCTCAGAGCACTAGATATAATGAGCATTCATCAACAAACTCTGCCTGACTGCCTCGGTCTATAAAGTAACTAGATCAGTGGTTCTCAACCTGTGGGTCGGGACCCCATTTGGGGTCGAACGACCATTTCATGGGGGTCGCCAAACAATGCAGTCTGCCATTTTTTTCCCCTTTTCCTTAGCTGTGCTACTCCCTTTTATTCTATTGGCTTTTGAAAGCCAGTAGAATAGACTCTCTTGAATAGAGTCTAATTCTATTGGCTTTCAAAATCCAATAGGAATTGTCCAGGCTGTCTCTGCCCTGCTGAGCCCGCCAAAAGTCCCATTCTGCAAATGGTGCTGCACCAGTTGAGTAGTCCTTGACTTACGACCGGTTGAGTAGTCCTCGACTTACGATCGGTTGGGGGTCGCGGCATTAAAAAGGTTGAGAACCACTGAACTAGATGATGAGCAACTTCTCTGATTCTTGGTAGGTAAGGCCTGTCATTCTGGCTTAAGTACAGCCTCTTGGCTGCTACCTCCATTACTAGCTGCTGCCTGGGAAGTCTTAGTTATGGGATACAAGATTTTACCCAGATATCCATTCTAGTTGCACCACTGCAAAAAGCATAGTACAGTGGACCACCATAACTAGTTTATGGGTTGTATTTGGCTTCAGGCCTTTCAGTCAACCACCAGCAAAAGCATATGAAAAGGGAGGGTGAGGAACATGCCTAAAAATCATTTCACAAATCGTTTCAAGAATAGCTTGAAATTTAAAGTATGGTTGGCATGCATATTTAATTTTTAATAAGAAAGTGGACCGGGCTTTTAAATTACATATTTTGAGGAGTGCCTTACTTCGAGTTTGGAAAAAGTATTATTATAGGTTAAACTATAAAATACCTATCTGGGGGATTCCTAGACATGCAATTGAGGGGATTTCTAAGGGGATGAACTTTGATAAAATTTCGTATAAAGAATTATTAATTTGGTCAGGTTCGGATTGGCATTTAAAATCTCTAGATGTATTAAAGCAAGAAAATATTCTACAGTCATGGTTTCAATATTTACAAATAGTGGACAGGTGGACTGTAGATAAGAAAGAAGGAATAACACTAGAAGATGTAAATCTGGTTATTCAGATTAAAGATCAGAGTCAGGCCCATATAAAAAGAATTTACAATGCTTTAATAGAATTAGACTCTGAAACAGAATTGGTTAAAGACTGTATGATTAGATGGGCTCAGAATATCCAGGATCCGATCCCATTGGACTTATGGGAGACAATTTGGATTAGAACTGTTAAATTTACACAAGCTCAAAATTTGAGGGAAATTTTTTATAAAATGTTTTACAGATGGCATTTAGATCCTAAAAAATTATCTTGTATGTATCCAAATTTACAACCCAAATGTTGGAGATGTGGTAATATGGATGCGACATATTTTCATGTTTGGTGGAATTGAAAAAGGTAAAGGCTTTTTGGATTATGATCTGGTGGAACATTCAAAAGATTTTTAAAAGGAAGATAAAGTTCACCCCTCAATTATTCCTATTGGGTATCTTTGTGGATTTAAATGACAAAGAAACTACTTTAATGTTGAATTTATTAACTGCAGCAAGGTTATTAGTAGGCTCGTATTGGAAGAAGGACTCGTTGCCTACTTTAGAAAAATGGATATTTAAAGTTTCTAACTTTGCAGAAATGGCAAAAATTTCTGCTTATTTGAAGGATCATACACAAGAAAGATATATTATTGTATTGAGAAGATGGATAGATTATATTCAGAAAAAATATGGGACTATAAAGTTTCATTTATTTTATGAGTAAATTTTATAGTAACTGTTGTAGAGATTTGTTTATATGTCTTAATTTAAGGGGAGTTAAAGGTTAAGTATGATTTTTTTTTTCGTTTTTTTTTCGTTTTTCTTTCTTTTTTTCCTTTTTTATTATTGTTAACCTTCTTATTAATAACCCTGTACTCTGCTCTGGGAAGCGAGGGGGGGGAGGGCTGAGGGTGGGTAGGTGGGTGAGTGGGTGGGTAATGATAATATAGTCATGGCAAATGCTTGGGCATTTCCCCTATGCTGTGTTCATGTATGTGAGAGGGATGAGAGGGGAGGAAGGAGTAGGGAGGAAGTAGGATGGTTAGAGGAGATGGGGAGGGGAAGAGAGTAGGAGGGGAGGAGAGAAAGAGGAGGGAAGTAGGGAAGGTTTAGAGAAGGTGGACGCAGCCTGGGGGGAATGGGCAGGCGGTACCAATGGTTAATTGTATTTTGTATGAATAAATGGAAAATAAAAACCTTTTTTTAATAAAAAGAGTTCAGAGGGAAAAAAAAAGAATAGCTTGCTAGAAAACAAAGGAAAGATAGGAATTTTTTTTAAAAAAATGTGATTGAGATGAATACTTTGCATGAAATTCTTGAAGAAAATAGACAACCCTGACCTCTGCAATTCAGTTTCATTCTATGGGGTCATTTGGCATTTGTGTACCCTCCAAAGGGAGTCTTTCTTGGAAGGCTTGCCCAGAAAAAAAAATATTGCCTTTGAACTTTCTTTTTGATCTCCCAGAGACTCCTTTTCTCATGAGTCCAGTGGAAAAGAAACACAAGCCCAATATGATTGTTGCATATGCAAAGAATGTAGAAGGCTAAGGAAGTTTTGGGTGCTTCTGAAGTAAAGAAACAGCATAGAGGAAACTGAATGCCAGCCAATCCTCTCAAATTAAAAGTTACCCATCTAAGCTGCAGTCATGAAACACTTTTCCGGCTTGTGAGAACGTTTTCTAGCCAGTAGAGGAGCAAATTATCATCCGAAAGCCGCATGTTCACCTCTACAAATGTTTAAATCTGGGGTAAAAAAAACCTCAAATGTCCATTGGGAAACCTGTGAATTCTAACTTAACTCAATAATGTTGCGCTCTCGCACCTGCGTTTGCCTCTTCAGTCTCTGAAATATTGAGTTCCACATCTGTTTCAGCACGAAGACTTCAAGAGGACAGGGGCTCTATAAATAAATGACATCATGCCTGCAGTGAAGCTCAGCTACTTTTTTTTTTTTCTTAACAAAATTCTCTAGTGTGTAAATTGTAATACAGTAAGTGGGCCATGAAGTAGGCCTACTTTTCAAGACCTACTTTGTTTGGTAGAGCCCATAGCTCAACAATTCAACACATTACTTACATAAAACCATTTTTCCTGGTGGGCTACCAATTTCAGTCAACGGGAAAATGATATTTGGAGAAAGTTTTCCCCTCCTTGAATACCTCCCTGTATTAAAAAGTTGTTCAAAGTTGCATTACTCTCTCTTTGTTTTGGTTTCCCATAACTCTGTTTTGCTAACTGAGTATTCATAACACTTTCTATGAATAAAGATATAGATCAATACACTTCACAAGGAAGGATAGTCTGCATTTTCTTTCTGCTAATATTCTTATTCCAGCACTGATGGATGCGTCTTCTCTTGGCATTTCCCTAATATAAGGTAAATAAGTCTCTGGTTATGATAAAGAAAAAACTCTCTAAGATTCAGAAAATATTATGGCAGGGCTGGCTTGAAAGGTCCTATATATTGTCTTAAAATCAACAATTAATGCAATCAATGACTTTTGAAGATATCTTCCTTAAATTGTCCAGGTGCTCTTAATTTTTTGTTGGAATGATATAGAGAAGATTAGTGTGGTGCCTGCACAAGGATGACACACAAACTCCTGAAGCCTTAAGGTTAGAGTCATCTAAATGAAAAAAAAAATGAAATGAGAAGATGACATGATGCTAGATAAAACACATTGAATGTCATTTAATTAAAAAGAGAATGTGTTTAGCCTCTAAAAAGGCCCCATACAATTTTTTAGAAAATAAAATATAGGGTGCTTTGTTTAGAAGTATGACCACTGGCCACAAGAAAAGACAATGTCCAGATAGCATACTAGATAGCATAACAGTCAGGAGACTTGAGAGCAACTCATTGGCTCACTTTCTGGTGAATAAATGTTTTTAATTGCCATTTTATGATAAAATGATCTTCCTATGCAGCCAGTTTATGAGAGTGACCACAACATGAACTCAATGTTTTAAATGTGCATTGGCATCCACTGGGTGGGGGAAGAGAGGCTTGAAATGGACAAGACAGTTGGCACAGCATCCCATTCCCAGCCCCACTTGCTTTGTATATATATCTTGATACATATAGAAAAGCAATTTGAATCATGAGGCCGTGTCCTCCATCTTCACATTCTGAGACCCCTCCCCCCGGAAGACCTCAGTGCAAATGTGCAAACTCAACATCCCATATTCTTTGCATCTGAACAGTTTATTCATTATGCATTGCCCCCTTTCAGTCAATTTGCTGTTTAACTGCAGCTCCCCCCCCACTTTTCAGCTTTATGAACACGCTTAGCAAACCACAAATCAGTGTGTTTTCACACCACAGCATACATGCCAGCCGTGTTTGTTGAGATGCAAAAAGCCTAAGAAGTACTACCAGTTGAATTTCTTTTGCAGCTTAAACATTTGCATTTGGCAGCTCATTAAAAAGAAAAATATGGAAACGACACTCAATATTCCCTACTGACACTTGGATTTTGCTTCTCAGGGACAGGGTTTCCCTATCAAGCACAAACATATAGATTGTGGCAAGTTCTCAAAACCATAATGAAATCTCAGCTACACGATGTAATGAGAGAGAGTTATTTGTCAAGGACAGATTGTACCGAAAGACTAGAGTCCCACAGTGGACTCCTTGGTATGGCTACAAACACAATAAAATTGAGATCAGGCTATGTAGATACCCACACGCACATCTCACTAACAACAAATCAATTTTCTCAGAACAGAAACAAAAACTTTACTTCATCATTAAGACTGTCCGAGCAAACCATTGTCTTGAGAAAGGGGATGTATGATGTATGTAGAAACAAATTTAAAGCAAAGGGTTGTTTTCAGTAGATTCTGAGAACATGTCAGTCAATGAAATGTTCAGATCATAGCAGGGGTCATGTTTCCACTCCTACTGATTTAATGCTGACTTGACTCTTGTGAGATGTTGAATCTTTCTTACAGCACTTTGAGAAAGTAAGACTACGCAGGCCAGACATTATTTAGGAAAACCATATCCCATCAGGCCAGCTGAGCTGTGGAACCGAGTAGGGAATTACCAGCCACTGACTGCTTGATGTATTGGGGAATTCCCTACAGGGGCCTGAAGTCCTAGAAATTCATATGGCCTCGATTTTCTCCAGTTTTCTCTAGACTAATCAACTGTCAAGGATAAAAATTATTTAAAAATAGCCAGTAGACTAAAACAGTAGGGCTCTCCTTTTTAAACCTTTTTCAAGATACAGACTGAAATAGAATGACTCCAAATTTGCTCAGATTAAACATCATAGAACATAGAATAACACAGTCGGAAGGAACCTTGGAGGTCTTCTAGTCCAACCCCCTGCTCGAGCAGAATATCATATATCATTTCAGACAAATGGCTGTCCAGTTTCTTCTTAAAAGCCTCCAGTGATGGAGCAACCACAACTTCTGAAGGCAAGTCATTCCATTGGTTGATTGCTCTCACTGTTAGGAAATTTCTCCTTAGTTCTAGGTTGCTTCTCTCCTTGGTTAGTTTCAATTTAATTAAGTTTAAGTTAGTTTCAATTTAGTTAAGGAACAACGATAGCAAATGATTAACATCCAGCACACAGTATTGTTAGTAGGTTGGACCAACTTCTGAGTCTCTGCTGGACAATGCCATTTCAGACAAATGGTTGTTCAATCTCTTCTTAAAAACCTCCAGTGCTGGAGCACCTACAACTTCTGGAGGCAAGTCGTTTCATTGATGAATTGTTCTAACTGTCAGGAAATTTCTCCTTCATTCTCTCCTTGATTAGTTTCCATCCATTGCTTCTTGCCCTGCTTTTGGGTGCTTTGTAGAATAGGTTGACCCCTGTTTTTTGTGGCAGCCCCTCAAATATTGGAACACCAAATCCTCAGATAGGCATTAAAAATGCAAAATATTCACTATGTAACACCTTCTCCACCCAACAAAGATGGCATTTCAAGAGAACAAGGACTCTGCGTTATTATTTGGAAGCCTGGTTCACTTATAGCCAGTGAAATATCTCCCTTGCAGATATTCCTAAAGGGGCGTTGGTGAAAGACAAGATTTTCTCTAAATTTATCACCTTAGGTAAGGCTTTAAAAAGACAGCCAGGGTCCGCTGGTAGAAAGGATGAGTTTGCAGAGGTAGTATGGCACCTAACAACATCCACAGCATTGCAAACTTGGTTGTTTCAAAACAGAATTCAATTCCATTCACAATAGGACGAATTTTAACTTTTACAATGGATTATATACTTTCAATTAGTTTGAAAGTGAGAGTGCAGTTGAAGGAGGCTCAAGCATGATCAAAGACAATGCTTTTCATTTTAAAGGAAGCTTCTGATGCTCCTACTTTCCACTCTGTCTTTTCCTACTGAAATTGCACTGATAAATATGTACCTCTGAAAAAGGTAAAATTTCTTTCCACAGATAATTGAATTATAACCCCCAGGAGTGTTATGATCTGTATAATATGACACATCAATCTGGAATTATTATTTCCTTTAATAATTCCCCTTCTTAGACGTCCCTTGATTTCTCTCTTGTGCCTGCATCACTCTGAAAGATCTGTGTTTTCCTTCAACTCACCATCATCCCTTATTTGAAAAGTCTGTAAATTTTGTGCTTCTCCAAAATATATAGATAATTGATTCCAGGAGTGGATGCCCATAACAAATCATATAGCTGTAACTCCCCTTGATTTAATGATGTACAGTGCTTTCTTAGGCAAAGACCATTATATTATTTACATTTATATGCCAGATTTTTGGGGGGGAGGGGGAAGATAGAACGATTTGTATTTTCAAGGGGGTGGAGGGAATTGCTTTCGGAATGCAAAATGAAAAGGAATGAAATCTGAAAGCCTTTAGGTGGACAAATATATTGCAGTGCTTCCTGATGATTCTTCCTGCTGAAAAGTATATTATTCAGATGCCTTCCCTGCCTAGAAGAAAAACAAATGGAGAACTTGCTTCAGAATACTCTGAAGGGATGAAATGAAGGTTGGGAATGTTTTTTTCTAAATGCCAGTCATTCCCAGATGGAAGAAAGTGAATAAGAGGACCAGAGCACATAATACAACTAAGTAATCATTCCCTCCAGCCCCTGTTACTAAGAGGTAAGTCTGTCCAATATTTTCATTCTCAATTATCGGAATTCAGAATCACATCCGAAGTTCTAACACATGATAGATCCCTGGGAATAGACAGGTGTAGATGAAGTTTATGGTGGGGCCTATTCAACTCTTATTATTAAAATACACGATCTCTTCATCCCAAAGGTGCTTCTTCAAGAGGGAACTGGAGTTTCTTTATTTTTCCTTGAAAATGTTTCACTTCTCATCCAAGAAGTTTCTTTAGTTCAGAACTGAAGAAGCTTTCTGCACGAGAAGCAAAATGTCTTCAAGGAAAAACAAAGGAACTCCAGTTGCCTCTTGAAAAAGTACCTTTGGGATAACCATGACCTGGATGGCTGAGAATATCCATAGATACACTATTTTTTCCTCATGTTATCATGTTTGTTACATTTGTCTATTCAGGAGTGCATCATACTGAATTCAACAGAATTGGCTCAGGTAAGCAGACGTCAGTTGTGAAGCAAATTTTACATTTGTTCTAATTAACAATGGCATTAATTCTGTCCACTGTAATGTTACACTGGAAATGGCAGGTTCCTATTCATGCTTGTAATTCAGTAAGGCTATAATCCATTTTTTTAACATGATTGAATCTTTAAAATTCTACTTATATAGATCAGTCTATAGAGAAATACAAAGTTTAGTATCTATATAAGTTGAATAAATAGGTTTCCTTCCCCCCCACACACACACTTTTAAAGTGCTTTCAACTATACATGGAAACATATAGTGTTATCCATAAAATATCTTTGGCAAAAAGGTATTTTTGGAGTTTTGCCTAGAAAAAAATATTTCTAACTCTTATAGGCATTTTTGGCTTAGATATAAAGATTCTTGAAGAGTGATATATCTAACTTCAATTTTGCTTACGCATCCTGCCATATCAGTCTTTTACTTGAACTCTATGTCTTAAAAAATCATGTAACAATTTAACGTTCTTCTCCATATTTTTAGTCTCTAGATGTAGGAATTCACCCCCAGAATCTTTATTTAAAAAGAAGGAAATGCCTCTCACACAAATGCTTGTCATATAAGTTATTTCTGCCTTCCATGGAAGGAATGTATGTAATGTAAATATGTGCCTCTTCCTTACAGAAATTCACCTCTGGTGTTAAGATCTGATTTTTTGTTGTTGTTGTTTATTTATTTGGAGAAAGACATTGTTAATCATCATGGCTTTCTATTACTGGAAGATCCTCTGTTGACTGAGTATCTAGAACATGGGTGTCCAACCTTTTGGCTTGCCTGGGCCACATTGAGTGAAGAGGAGTTGTCTTAGCTGCATATAAAATATATGATATAATGTATATAAATAACAAGCTAAAAATTACATCATGATTTAAAAAGTGTATGATCTTGTAGGTTGCATTATTAACTGTTTAGAGCCACATGTGGACCATGGGTTGGATACACCTGGTCTGGAATAAGAAGTTGAGGCACCTCAGCTATATGATTTGTGTGCAGGTAGTCATTGACTTATGACCACAATTGAGCCCAAAATTTAT